GAATAACAAGTTTATACACCCCCACCAAACACCTGGTTGCTCTCATCACCGGAAATGGAGGAGATAACAATGCCGGAAAACCTGGACATAGAGTCGGAGGCACTACCAGCGGAGCCATTGGCCCCTTTGAATTTGGAGGCCGATATAATCATCCTAATGAACCCAGAAGTGCAGGCACCAAGCATCCTATATCAAATGCTGCAACACATCACACTACGGGAATCACTGTCGACCACACTCCACGAAAATAGAGAAAAATAATACTTCATCACAGTTCCAAAAAATGTGCTTCGAATAGCAGTGAACATTTGCACCTACCCCTTCTCGATCATCCACAAATATGCAGTACTGATTCTACCAACACTGACGGAGGAAGACTTTCCATTGCCGGTACCCAATGGGGTGGATGACCTACTAGTTGCGCACCTGCGTATGTCACTGGCCCCGGGAGGGAGCTCATGTTTTAACCAATGAACCCAAAATGAAGATACTCCTTTAAAGCTGCAGGGGTTGCAACAACCAGAAATTCCGGCGCAACTTCAAAGACATTGTCGACTTGAACAATCGATCAATCATTTACCTCACTGAAACGCGCATACAAAGCCACAACGAGCTCATAGAATTTATTGGTTTCACTGACTTGTTTGAAATTAGCACAGATGGCTACTCTGGTGGAGTTGTACTAATGTGGAAGCGTGAAGAGTTGGATATGGATCCAGTAGCAGATACCGACCAGGAGATCCATGCAAACATCCAGGTCAATAGAACTTCAAAACATTGGCTACTCCCCTTAGTTTATGCCAGCACTTTATTAGTGAAAGGAAAAATACTTTGGAATAATCTGCAAATAGTTGCAAAAATAACACATATCTGTGGCTATTATGTGGCAAATTTAATAAAGTCACAGCCGCCTCCGAAAAGTTTTGAGGTAGGCCTATAAATAGTAATAGAAGTACTGCATTTCTAAATTGTCTTGATGCTAGTGATGTGATTGACTTGGGTTTTGTAGGCCCACGTTTCACATGGACAAATAAAAGAAAAAAAAGGCAACACCAAATATTGGAACGATTGGATAGATTTCTTGAAAATTCAGACTGGGTGGAAATGTTCCCTGATGCCACGTACACATTCGGACCACTGCCCACTACTGCTAAGTCTGTCAAAAAATATTAGTAAACTAATGCACGTTTTCCGCTTTGAAAGATGTAGCTTAGTCACCGACTTTTCCAAAACACAGTTAAACAACACTGGAATAATAATACAAATTACACACATGCCATTTCTTCCTTCACATAACACGTGGAAGAATGGAACAGGTCCACATTTGAGAACATAAAACTAAAAAAAATTTAAAAAAAAACTCTTCTTGCACGCATTCTGGAACTCCAAAACATGCACCCACAACATAAAACCCATTTTCACCATACTCTTAAAAATAATCTTATTCATGAATATAACTTAATTCTCCAAGATGAACAAGATTTTTGGAAATTAAAATCAAGATTTCAATAGATAAAAGACGGGGATGCCAATACAAAAAATTTCCATATATCTTAATGACACAGTTGGTAATTGGACCTTTGACCCCAAGGGAATACATAATATTATTATTAAATACTTCTCAAATATCTACACAACTAAACTTGATTCATGTAGATATACCATAGCACCTAACCCAAGCCTACTCAACATCCTCACACAACAGGATAAAGAAGCACTCAATAGACCCCTCTTAGTAACAGAAATCAACAGAGCAACAAAATCCTTTAAACCACTAAAGGCACCAGGTCTGGATGGCATCCACCCAATTTTCTTCCAGAAATACTGGCCCGACACAAACTCAGCTATCATTCATACCTATACTCAAGCCTTTGCTAACTTAGTAATACCACCTAAAATAAACAGGACCTACGTAACTCTTATTCCGAAGGTTAAGCAACCCCAAAATATCTTTCAATATAGGCCCATCAGCCTTTGTAACACAATCTATAAAACTATAACAAAATTATTGTAATCCGTATTCGCCCTTTCCTCAATAATATTATCAGTCCTAATCAATATAGCTTTATTCCGGGAAGGAGAGCAATTGATAATGCAATAATTGTCCAAGAAGCGATCCACTCATTAAGGAATTGTACGAGTAAGACCGGAAAGATGATGCTCAAAATTGATCTTGAAAAGGACTTTGACCGACTTGAATGGTCATTCGTCAGGAGCTCATTGCATGCATTAAATTTTCCACAAGACCTAATAACGCTTATTATAAATTGCATATCCACCGCTATAACTTCAATCATTGCAAATAGCAAACCTACAGAATACCATCAAGAGGCATCCGTCAAGGAGACTCGCTATCCCCGTACCTATTCATCATCTATATGCAATCCCTAACACGTTGCATTGATTATGAAGTAGATATTTTGAACTGAAAACTCATTAAAATAAACCATAATGGCCCAGCCATATCCCACCTCCTTTTTGCGGATGACCTTATTCTATTCGCTGAGGCATACAATACTAGTGCAACTTCTATCATAAACATATTCAACTTCATTTTCCATCAATCCGGGCAGAGAATAAAAATTTTCAAATCCAAAATATTTTTTTCTTCTAATGTACCAGTTAAAAACCAAACATTGTTGGCCAACACACTAAACATTAAGATAAAAAAAATAATGTGGGAAAATACTTGGGATTTCCGATTACCAACTTACAACCAAAAAGTTCGAATTATCATTCATACTTGACATGATGAATACTCGACTAAAAGGATGGAAAGCAAAACTACTCACTTTATATGGGAGATTAACTCATATACAATTGACTCTGTTAGCCATCCCCACCCATTCCATATAAATAAACCTTCTTCCAACAAAGACTAGAAACAATATTGATCGCATCTAGAGAAACTTCCTATGGGGTTCTACAACGGACCAAAGGAAAACCCATCACATGAACTGGAATAAGGTAGCATCTCCTAAGCAAGAGGGAGGCTTGGGGCTATACAAAGCAATAAGGAAAAATATCACACTCCTATCAAACCTACTATGGAGATACCACTCAAATCCTGAATCTCTATGGGCAAAAATAATTAAGGGTAAATACATTAGCACTCAAAGAAGGAACCCTATGGTTTACAAAACAAATGACTCCTACATCTAGAAAAGCACTACCAAAACTTATTCTTTCTTCTCCATAGGCATCGCCTGAAATTTTGGAAACGGGAACCAAATAAGCATTTAGGATGATAGATGGGTTATTGGCCATCACACTTCAAGGGAACTAATTGAGGGGCCGTTAGGCAGGGAAGATATAAATACAAAGTTAACTGCATCATTACTAATAAAAATTGGAACCTAGAAGCTCTACCATACAACATACCAAATACGCTTTCTGATATCGTAACACAAACATACATTCCGTTCTCAGAAAAATTAAATGACTCCTTCTTCTAGAAAGAAACAGAAGATGGGAACTTCACAACAAAATCTGCATGCAATCTCTTCATTAGGCTCACAGAGGCAACTCAATCTCGTGAACCTTTTAACCACTTCTGGATATGGAAAGCACACTGCCACAACAAACTCAAAACTTTCGTCTGGCTACTAATACATCAACGACTGCCTACTGCAGTTGTTCTAACCCAAAGGAAAATAATTGAATGCAACTCCTGCAACATTATGGGACAGAGGAAAACATAAATCACATATTCTATCACTGCCCTATGAACAACACAATATGGGGAGAGCTAAACATCATCACCCCCAAACTCAAGCCGACTAGATTGGATAAAGGATAATTTTACCTCCACTACGAGCATCATACTACCAAATAACTCATCAATCCCGTTGGTTATTATCACACCAATTATTCTTTAGCATATTTGGCTCAACAGTAATCATAACATTTTAATAACTGCTCAACACACACTGATAGCAAAAAAACAGTTACGCACGCGATGGAATAACTTTGCCTAACAAACCAAAACTTCAAACATTTCATAACCACAAAAATCTCGATAAAATGGACACCCCTAACACAAAACATCTATAAACTCAATATAGATGGTGCACACCAAACAAACTCCAACATTGGAGGAGCAGGTGGAATCATCAAAGATTCCAAGGAAAATGGATTAATGAGTTCTCCTGCCACATAATGGTCTCATCACCCATACAAGCAGAAATTATCGCCCTATTAAAAGGATTGGAAATTGCTTTCACACAGTTGCAGACTTGCAGATATCAGATGAATCTGGATCAGTGTACTAATTACGGCTTGCAAAAAGGAACGGAAGCCATGATATTTGTGGTTATTCTTTCTCTTTTTCTTTTTTGTTTTACTTTATCGGATAATGGTTGAAAATAGAAAAAGACACCTCCATAGAAACTTCAAGTTCCCTACAGCACTAAAAGAAATCAAAATGTGAATACATGGAAAAGGAGAATTCTGTAAGAATTGGACGAATGCGAGAATGAGGAGCGACATAAACATATAGAGGAGGAGCAATATCGTGCATACCAGGTTCCTGCTCGACGCACTGGGCCAGCCGGATGTTAGGCATGTCTACCGTGAAGGAAACCAAGTGGTGCACACACTAGCGCAGTTTAGGAGCAGCTGTAACTCACATACTAACGTTGAGTGTGACGAACACTTCTGGAGTGAACCACCTTTATTTGCTTTCTCTACTTTCCGCAAAGACTTACTAGGGATTGCTTCGTTAAGATCAGTCTGGGACTGTAATAACTCTCTCTAATTTACGGCATAATAACAAATTATGCACCTTTCTAGCAAAAAAAGAAAGAGCTCAGTGTAGTTTTGAGGGTATGTAACAAACAGTGGTCAGTGGCTACTCATTTTCATAATACTAATACTAATACTAGTCACTTTCCCTTCCACAAAGAAACTGTTGTTTGGGAATTATGAGAAATACTTCTCACTAGCTATGATGCAAAATTCTCTCTAGTTGTATTTTACTTTCAGTTTGTAATTATGCTACTACTATTGGAGTTGTTGCATTTTACTTTCAAAGTTGTAATAGCTGTCTCAAAACAATACCAGTAGAACAAAAAGGCAATGCTAGTAATCTAGCACACCTACAGTGAAAAACAAAGGTCCTAACAACTCAAAGACTAACCAACTAAAATAACAAACACTGTATCAGTCTTCTAATACCAACAGAAGAAGCAATGGGTGCTTAAACACCCATAATACATAACTTAGATCCGCCATTGCCAAATGCTGCGACTTAAGCCATACAAATATTTAACCCTCACATTCCACAAGCAGGTGAACCGAACCGTTGACTGATCACAATGAGTTTGATACAAGAATCAACATTGATGCCCCACTTAACAAGTTTCCCCTGCAAGAGTAAATCCAGATTTTGCCCTTCCAAGCTACTTTAAGTTGCAAATATATTCTCTAATCTAGCTTTTTACTCTAACAGAATCACCAATAAGTTGCAAATATTCGGCACACAACAACAACTATGACCTTTCTTGTATCTGCTCTTTTAAATATCCTCAAGTTAGAGTCAATTTTTCAATTTAAAAATTTTCTCAGTTTACTTGTGCTATGCTCCATTTAACCTTCAAGAAACAGGTGAACAAGTATAGCACAGAAGTTGTTGCATACTTAGCCACCTAATGCCAAATGGCTAGAGTAACAGCAATGGCTAAAAGTAGTAGTAGCACACCATCTCCTCCTGGCAGGATGCCTAACCTGTTGAAAAGTTAACACCACATAAAATATGTTATTAGAATTTCATGCTATTGTTTTTGCACTGTATTAGACAACATATAATGAGTTAAAATCATAATTGGTTCTTAATGAGTTGCTAATTCTCATTGGCTCTTATCTTTCTATAATTAGTAGCGGCATACCTGAGCTTTTTCCTGGACTGATAAATGTATGTCATCACCGGCGGAAGGATGCCAAACAGAAAGCAGTTTGCATAAATCCCAGCAAAATCAAGAGCTCTTGAAAATGTAGAGGGAAAGAAAGAACCAATGAGAACTGGCAAAGCTAGAACAAAAGGCATCACAATGCTTTGCATAAATTTGAAACCATGTTTCCCTCTAATTTCCAAACCATTATCACTCTTGATTCCACTATAAGAAACTTCTCCTGCATTTCCAAGATTTTGCCTGAACTTGAAACTGGCTGATCCAACTTTGCCTACTTCACCTTGAGTTGTTACTCCTCTAGGACTACTGAGGATCAAATCCAATGTGTCGACAACCTGTTTCGGAAAACTAATTGCATATCCTATCAAGCTAGTGGCCAGTGCTGAAAATGCAAAACCTTGAACTGCTGGTAGAGCAGAGGAATTAACAGAGAGCAAGAGTGAGATCGGATCGCTTGAGACATATGAAGCATTGTTCCCAGAAAGTCCCAAAACAATCAAATTCCATGATACAACCATGATTAAAGGAATAGTCCCACCTAGAATTATTGCTTTTCTAGCATCATGTACAGTATTCCCAGCAATTTTACAAATAAAAGGTGTGATTACATGGAACCCCATTGTAAGCACAGCTACAGGAATAGCAGGCAAGATTGAGGAAAATCTCCAAGAAGCAAATCCAAAAGAAGTTACAATATTCATTCTCCCAACAAATAGTCCAATTACCACAAGTGCTGTAATGGAGAAAAGCATCATAATGCATAGACACCTATTGGCTACATCAATAACCTTAAAAGGTAACAAACATAAAACTAGTCCAACCAGTGATGGACACAGTCCATTAGCAATAACAGGATTAATTTTGCAAAACCACTGAGAAATAATTGAACCAATGCCTGAAACACAGGCTACTAACAAAGCAAAAGTTAGTGAAGCATAGACCAAAGCAACAAAAGAACCAATTTTACTTCCTAATGTCTTGGTTGCAAGACTAGTAAAGCTAACTTCATCAACCCCATCTTCCTCCATTGCAGCAAAACTAAGTTCAGCTACAAGAATGATAGAGGAAATGACATATACCCAAGTCAATAATAGGGCTACAGTTGATGGAAGTGGACCAGATTTTACAGTTAATGCAGGTAATCCCAACATTCCAGGCCCTACAGCAGTACCTACAACCAAACTTACAGCACCCCAAAAGCTTTTGTCCTTAGCCACTTCAATCTTTTCTTCAACATTACATTGTTCATCTGAAAAACTAGCTTCATTTGCATCCAAAGAGACAGCTAAAGGTTTGTGCTTTACACACCTAACTGTAAATGCTTCGAGAGTGGGCTTATAGAGTAGTTGCTTAAAAGTTGGAACTTTTGAGCTTTTGCAATGAGTTATATGACAAGTATTGTGGCTGAAAAATTGAAACTTGAACTGCTGTGAAAGAAGCATTGCTTATATACCCAAAAAAAAAAAAAATTTCAAGATCCCTTCAACTTTCCACCTTTGATTCAGCTGTGTAAAAATGAGAGAATTCTTGCTTGCATTTGACAAGTAACCATAGAAAGTACTTAGAATGGATTTTTTTTATATCGGCAATCAAATACAATAAATGGGGTTATGAGAGGGAAGGAGAAGAATTATGTAAAAAGTTGTTTGTGTGCAGAAATGAAAAGGGTCGGAACTGAGTAGTGACTGACAAATCCAGAAAGCAGGCCCCTTACAGTTGAATATTCAGGCGGCGGTGACAATTGACAAATGGATGTGAGGGTTCCCGTCCTGCCTAAGCACGTGTTTTAAAGAATCAGTTTTATGGAGTACTAGCTTTTTAAGGAGAATCTTATATGATGATTCCTAGACCCTGATTCCTAGACCCTACCAAAAAGAGCATTAAGGCTAAATCAATGTTTCGCCAAACTTGTTGTCACGATCCAAAATTTCGCATGTCAGTGATAGCGTCTATCGTAACACTAGGCAAGCCGATAATCACAATTAACCACACATCTTTAAATTGAAAACATAACGAAGTAAGCTTAATAGTGAAAATCACATAGATGACTGATAAGAAAATACTGCAACTCAATACAAAATCCCCCAAAATCCGAGTGTCACTGAGTACATGAGCATCTAAATGACAATACCGTCTAACGGCTAAAACAATTGTCTAGGAATATAGAACAGTGCTAATAAACTGAAAAGAAGGAGAGTCGAGGTTTGCGGACGTCAAAGCAGCTACCTCAAAAGTCTCCAAGCAGATGAAGATCCAAACCTGGCAACCGCTGTGTCCAGATATACCTGGATCTACACTTGAAGTGTAGAGTGTAGTATGAGTACAATCGACCCAATGTACTCAATAAGTAACAAGACTAACCTTGGGCTGAAAGTAGTGACGAGCTCAGACAGGTATAGTCCAAACCGAGATCATAACAGTACAGAAATGTAGACATGCCTTCAAGTTTAATAGTTTAAGTTCAACACGGATAAAATATGCCAAGTGTGACTGATATGAGGAATGTTACATCTCCATATCTATATGTCAATTATGCATGCCAACTGTAATGCAACACAGTAATAAAGTCATATACATACTCTCGGAATATTCAATCTCACTCAGCACGCTCAATCACTCAGTACTCCTAGTCACTTAGTACTCCCAGTCACTCTGCACTCTCGATCTCTCAGTGCTCTCGATCACTCGGCACTCACACTCAGTAGGTACGTGCACTCATTGCTGGTATGTCAGACTCCGGAGAGGCGGATCCTGCCCAAGCGCTAATATAAACCAATCATGGCATGAATCAATAAAGCCTATTGCAGCGTGCAGCCCGATCCCATAAATATCACTCAAAATCAGGCCCTCAGCCTCACTCAGTCATCAATCTCTCCAGTCTCTCGAGCTCACAAACCTCATGACAATCAGCCCAAACAATGATAGTGTGATGTAACAATAAATAGCAACAAAGACTGAGATATGATATGCAAATGATAGATGTGATTGAGCATATAATTGCAATTTAAGCAAATAATCCAACAACAGAAGTGACCTCTATGGGTCCCAACAGAACAAGCATATAGTCTGAGCATGATTTCTAGCATGGATTGTAGCTCAATTACTCTAACAAGTAGGAGTTTCATGGATAGAAATAGGGTTTGATAACTATACAGTTCCACGGACTTAACCGAGTCACAATCACTACGGTGCACGCCCACACGCCCGTCACCTAGTATGTGCGTCACCGCTACACCAATCACATAAAATGTAGTTCGGGGATTCATAACCCCAGAACCAAGTTTAGAAGTACTTACCTCAATCCGCGTAAATCTCTACTCCAACAAGCCCTTTGTGACGACCCGGCTAGTCGTCTTAAGAATTTACGCCCCGATCCCCCATTAATTGCTTCCCCTAAGTTCATTTCTGCTATTTTGGTTTGCCAGGACGTTCGGTGTTGAGTTTCGGAGAGCTTTGGGACACTTAGTCCCTAAATGAGGCTTAAGTGTTGAAAAGTGGTCCGTAGTCGGAACAGTGGGAAGACGACCTCGAAATGAAAATCCGATGGTTCCGTTAGCTCCGTTAGGTGATTTCGGGGTTGGGAGCGTATTCGGAATGTGTTTTGGAAGTCCGTAGCTCATTTAGGCTTGAAATGCCGAAGTTTGAATTTTATAAGTTTCCGATCCGATAGTGAGTTTTTGATTCGAGGGTCAAATTTGAATTTCGGAAGTTACAATAGTTCCGTCATGTCATTTGGGATGTGTGTGCAAAATTTCAGGTCATTCGGACGAGGTTCGGGTAGGTTTTTGATCGAAAGCGTGTTTTATTGGAATTTGAAGTTCTTAGGCTTGAATCTTTGATTAATTCGGGTTTCCAGCGTTGTTTTAGGTGTTTTTAAGATTGGTACAAGTTTGAATAAGGTATTAGGTGGTATTGGTGCTTTTGGTTAAGGTCCCGGGGGCCTCGGGATAATTTCGGGTGGTTAACGGAAGAATTTTGGAAGTTGAGAGGTAGCAGTTCTGCTGCTTCTGGTATCTTTTCGCTTCTGCGGCTTGGGAACCGCAGAAGCGGAGCCGCAGAAGCGGCCTTGGTCATCGCAGAAGCGTAATTTGGACTCCTCAGCTTTTCCGCAGGTGCGGAAGGTTTGACCGCAGATGCGGTTCGCACCTGTGAGATTTGTACCGCAGAAGCGGAACCTGGCCCATTAAGTGAAAACCGCAGAAGCGGCTTGGTTTCCGCAGAAGCGGGACCGCAGAAGCGGTCCCTTGTCCGCAGAAGCGGAAATACCTGTTCAGAAAAGGGAATTTCGAGGGTTGAGTTTCAAAAGTTGGAAAAATCAATTTCCACGCCGTAGCTTTGAATTTAATAGCAAAACCATGTGTTTGCGATGTTATATACAATGTGTAATTGAATTGAATAGATTTGGTCCATTTGGAGTCGGATACTTGTGGCAAGAGCGTGGTTTCTAGTTGATATTGAGCCGGTTCGAGGTAAGTGGCTTGTCTAACCTTGTATGGGGGACCTTTCCCCTTAGGACATGATCTTTGAATATTTGAATGCCTCGTACGTGAGGTGACGAGCGCGTACTTGAGCTAATTGCTGTAAACCCGTTTCTACTTGAAGTATTTAAATTGAGATTTCCTGTTTACTTGTTCATTTTAGACTGTAAGTTTATACCTGTGCTAGCTTAGAGACGCATGTTTAGCTGGCTTACTTGCTTATTTGTTTAGCTGTACTATTTGTACTCTGTTAAGCATGTTAGGCTTGAATTTACTATTACTTGTCCTGATTTTAGCATTTATTTTGAGATTATGGGTTGTTGTTGTTGTGTGTTTAATTTGGGACTATGGGACGGCTTCCCGGGAGATCCCCTGTACTTGAGATATTCTGGACTGAGGGTGCGGGATACCAAGAGATCCCTGGCACATGTGTTTCTATATATATTGGGATACCAAGAGATCCCTGGCTTACTTATTGAGGATACCCAGAGATCCTCGGGATACCAAGAGATCCCCGACTTACTTATTGAGGATACCAAGAGATCCTCGGGATACCAAGAGATCCCCCGGCTATTATTCCTTGTTGAGGGCAGTTTTCCTTGTATTGTTACCTTTGTTTTCTATTACTGTTCTTCCTTATTTACCTGGTTTAGATTCTCGCTATAGACTTTATTTAAACTGCTTCCGTTATCTCATTATTTATTATGTTCTATCTCAGTAGGGCCCTGACCTTCCTCGTCACTACCCAACCGAGGTTAGGCTTGGCACTTACTGAGTACCGCTGTGGTGTACTCATGCCTCTTCTGCGCATGTTTTTTTTTTATGCGCAGATCCAGGTACTTCCTCCCAGGCGTATCATCCTCGTGGTGGAGAGTCCTAGCTGAGACTTGAGGTATATCTGCTACGTTCGCAGACCAGGAGTCTCTACTCTATTCCGACTTTAGCAGGTAGTTCCTTTCTTTCCTTTCATGTTGTTTAGACATTCTGGTGTAGAACAGATTACTACATTCTATTAGCCTGTGTTTCCCGTGAGTTTCCGGGTTTTGGGATTTAGTTGTAGACTTCCGCATATTTTTGAGTTGTATAGGCCGAGTGGCCTTATATACAGTTGTTATTTCCGTATGTTCAGTTTTAATTAATTATTCCGCAAATGTTAATTTGTTATTCCGCACTGTTAGGCTTGCCTAGTTGTAGGAACTAGGTGCCATCACGACATGTTCATGGAGGGTGAACTGGGGTCGTGACACCCTTGCCTCGCGAATTGGCCTCTGAACGACTCGAATCTAGCCACAAACAACTCAATACAATCAACACAAGCTTTAAGAATCAATTCCATATGAAAGCTAGGTTCTTTAACAAAAGTCAAAAAGTCAACCCCGGGCCCACGTCTTGAAATCCGATAAAATTTATAAAATTCGAACACCCATTCAATAACAAGTCCAACCATACCAAAATTATCCAATTCTGACATCAAATCGTCACTCATCTCCAAATCTTACTCTCCAATCCCTAGTCCAAAAATTCCCAAATTTCACCTTAAAAACACTAATCTAGGTGGGAAACTCAATGGGTTCAATATTAATGAATAAAAATGATCAAAAGTGGCTTACCTCTTGAAATCTCGTGAAACCCCTCTAAAAAATCGCCTCCAACCAAGCTCCCAAACTCCAAAAATGAAGAAATCACGAAACCCTTTTAATTTAATCGCTGCAGTGGTTCCGCTTATGCTGTCCATTTAGCCGTTTCTGCGATACCTCTTTTGCAGTTAAAAATCTGCTTCTGCGGAAAAACGCTCAATACCCGACCTACCGCACCTACGGCCTAGCCATCGTGCATGCGATATCGCACCTGCGACCCCTGGCTCGCTTCTGTGGTGGCACACCTGCAACCAATCCTCCATAGGTGCGATGGCACCAGACATCAACAGCATCAGAAATTCTTCTAAGTCCAATTTCAATCCGTTAGCCATCTGAAATCCACCTGAGGCTCCGGGGACCTCAACCAAACATACCAACAAGTCCTAAATCATCATACGAGCTTAGTTGAGGCCTTAAATGACATCAAAATACGAATCACACCCCAATTCAAGCCTAATGAAACTAATAAATTTCCAACTTCAACAATCGATGCCGAAACCTATCAAACCAACTCTGTTTGACCTCAAATTTTACACACGGGTAATCAAGGACTCAACAGACCTATTCCAACTTTCAAAACTAAAATCCGAGGCTGATAATCACAAAGTCAACTCTCGGTTAAACTTCACAACTCTTGAAACTTCCAATTTTTCAACTTTCGCCAATTCAAG